TGTAAAATACACAAGGTTTACAAAATGTTTCTTTAAAAAACCTCAGCTTATAATAAGAATATTTAGTTTTTAATTTTATTTTATACGTGACTCATTCTCAAGATTGTAATATATTTCCTTCAGGGTTTTAATGAATGTTTTGTCATGTTCATTCATATACAGCCATTTTCTATTCATATACAGCTATTTCTTAATGTTGTCTTTTGTTTACCGTGTTTAGCGGATTTCATAAATGAAACATGCAGACCAGAATAGAAATTTAAATAGAATTGATTCTTAAATCGACATTGTAAGAAACTACATAGAGACGAATTTAAGTAAAATACTGAAGTTCGCATAAATAAAATATCACGAAACTTTTGCTGAAAATTTTTTACTATTCTATCAAAAATCGATTCTCAAAATACGTTTATATTGTTGTTTGTCTTTAGACGAATTCGGGAAATAAAATCTCATGAATAGCATGACTTCCGTTTACAAAAGCAACCGAAGTAAAGGTGTTAAGAAACCGATTAGAGCTATAAGCTCCTCAAAGCTTCTTGCTATCAGAGGTCTATAACTGGATCCTTATTGAAATCTTAAAGGCATTCCGATAGTATATTGAGATTCAACTTTAGAATAGAATAAGCTTTTTTTAGTTGAAAAGTATTAAAAAAATTGTGTTTCTTTAAACTTTTAAAACTTTTTGCTTCCTTACTCCCTAAATCTGAACAGAAAATTCATTTTTTGTAGTTTCTTTTATTTCAATCGAATAAATTTAATTTTTCCAAGAAATTGAATTAAAAATGTATTGACAATAATACTTAAATTCTAATAAATAAATTATAAAGAAGGCTTTTTAAAACAATTGAATTTCTTTGATGAATTTTAATAAAATTTTTAAGAATAATTACATTTTTTGAGAAATTCCATTTAAATTGTAGAAATTGTATTAAAAATAATTGAAATTCTGCGATGAGTTTATTATTTATGAAAATAATTGAATCTCTGTAAAAAAATTTGATTATTTATGAAAATAATAAATTTAATTCTTGTGAAGAAATTTATAAAGAATTTGTAAATAATAGAATTCCTGTGAAATTTTTATTTAATTAATTCATTAAAAACTGAAATTATACAAAATTTCAAATTAAAACCTCTTGAAGTTTATTTATCCAGGAAAATTGTAAACGCAACTCTTTTAAAATTGAATTAATTTTGAAATATTTTAAGAAAAGTTAGATTTATCAAGAATAAGCACAATAACATTAAAAAAAACAATAATTTTCCAGGATTTCGATCAAAATTTCCTGACTTTTCAAGGTTTATAAAATTGCCTGACATTTCCAGATTGCGTGGCAATCCTGATTGATGTCAATAAATGATCAAACTGACCATTTTACATAGGATGCTTACCTATTGTACATAATAGGTAGATTTTGTGAAAAGTATTTTAAAAATTTGTTAGAAAATGTTTGTTTACCTATTTCACGTCATTTAAACCAGTAAATACCGTCTCTGTTTGGCGATAATTGCAAGTCTCACATAATAACCTAGAAATTTCAGAGATCTTCCAAAACACTCTTATTATTGCTATTGTTCTCAACACTTAACAATTCAACATGTATAATTTAAATAATGTTTCATTAAACAATTTTCCTCACCTTTTTACTTCTATGTATTGCCTATAAGTTATAAATAAACACAATAACATTGTAAACAGTGGTATTTAACACTATCGAGTAATGCATTGGCAGCCATTGATCGATATCACATTTCGCGCACGCGTATCACTAACACCGTTCTTTTCAGACTGCATAAAAGCTGAAAAGCAGTCTTAAGGTCATTTGAAAAATTATTAAGTCACGTTTTACAATACAAATATTCCCACTATATCTAATTAATGAAGTTTTGAATATTCTTTAATGAAAATTTTTGGAAAACGTTTATAACATTGTAGATTATGGCCCTTACGTGCAAGTTGATTGGATTTTTAAGTTAAAACTTTAATTTTAATATCTTTATAAATTACCTAGCCTTGGGTTTTGAATTTTTTACTTTTTTTATTTGAGAATTTAATAACTTTTATTTTTGTCCTTTGATAAACTACATGAATTGTGAATGCAAAAAAGGTAAATTACAAACATTGATGAATTTGTTCTTGTGGCAATTAAAATATACGTTTCATAAAATATTAATAAAAAAATGTAATACGATTATTATTACATATATATAGTTAAAACAATAATAATACTAACAATAGTAATAATAATAATAATAATAATAATAATATAATAAATTTTAACAAAAATAATAATAAAAAATAAACTATCAACTTCGATACTTATTAAAATAATCCAATGTTTGCAAAAAAATGGTTTATTTCTACAAAAAATTTAGGCTCCACCGAGACTTGAACTCGGATCGCTGGATTCAGAGTCCAGAGTGCTAACCATTACACCATGGAGCCAGATAATTTTCGGGAGTTTAGACTATTTCTTAACGTGATATTGGAAAAAGGCCTGCGCATCCTTTTACAATTGCGAGCAATAAACGCATGTCAACAGTAATGTATAAATATCCGAGATTAATTTTCAATTACTTTTATTTAAAATAATTACCATTAATAAATTTTTCAACCTTTTATGTATTTTTACAATGAATTCAATTATCAATTATCAAACTTTTCTCTACTTCGAAGTTTATATTATTTTCTAAAAAAATTCACCAATATTTACTAGTAAATTATGGTAAATTATATTACAAGTACATAAAAAGTTGAAAAAAGAAATTTTTGATTGAAGAAAATAAATGAAAAATCCGGAAGTGAAAGTAATTTTTAAAAAATTTTCTTTTATGTATAGAAAAGGTCGGAGCTATTCACGATTATGGAATACGAGAATATATTTTCTTTTGCAAATAGAACAGTCGCTAGTCAAGTAAAATATGCAAATGATTGTGGATGAATTGGAGCAAACGGAATTTCTCCAATGCGTATCGATACTTATTTTTTAAAAAAATCTACTCTATTCCCACGAGTAACTAAATTGAAAAACCAATCTTATTATAACACTTTTTATAATATCCTTTGACGATGTCTTTAACAGTTTATTGCAGAAAATTGAACACGAAATAACATTAATATTTCAAAAAACTAAATTTAAAATTAAATGTTACGAAAATTTTGATTTTAAAATATAATAATTAAAATTCATATTAATAAACTACAAGGTACGAATCAGTTTTTAGAAAAAATGTTATAATCTGAAAATCTCTAAATAAATAAAATATAAAAACTACGTAAATATTAATAAAATATTTTTTAATAACCAAGTAGAAAAATCAATAAAGTGAAAAGTAAACAAGTAAACATAAAATATTTATTTTATAAACAACATCTATGCAGATATTAAAATACCAAAAAAGTAAATGTACATCTAGAAGTTAAATTATTATTTTATTAAATTTGTATTCAAATAGTTGAAAATATTTAAATAAAAAGAAAATAGAATTTCAATTTCTTCTTCAGGGTTTAATTTCGAATAAAATAAATATTATTTCCATTAACCAGTCAGAATGAGAGAACTTCAGCTTGGCAAATCAGCCAATACTTGATGACACGCCAATATTTGAAGAGCTTGAGGATACAAAACCACATTAAAAATCAAACTTCCATTTGAAAATCCTCTAGAATTAAAAAGCAATTTTACGATAAAACTTCTTGTTACAATTTCAAACTTAAATATTTTAAAAGATAATACAATCTGCTCCTTTAGATCATAAAATTATAACTGGAGGGACAAAAATGTTTATATTACAATTTTCAAATTCCGGATTTTCATGTTCTTGATTGTTTCTAAAGTAAATATTAAACTTTATTGATTATTATAATTGAAATATTTTTCAAATATATATCAAATTTCGAGAAAGTATGAAAAAAACACAAAAAAAATACATTTTTTTTTCTTAACATGAATAAATATTAAAATACGAGCGATAAATAAAAAAATTACAAAAAATATGTAAATTAAAATTTTCCAAACGAGATAGAAATATTTTAGAAAAATAAAAATATTTTCATAAAGTTTGAAAAAATAACCTCAGAAACTAAAAATTTTAATTGATAAGTAAATTTCAATTGACATTTTTTGTATTTTATGAACCTGCGTTCATAAAATTAAAAAAAAAAATGCATCTTCATAGATGTGAGAAATAAAAAAATGTTTTTACAGCTTAAATTCTTGAAAAGTTCATGTATTTTAAAAATAAAAAATTTTAAAAAAAATTTTTTTAAATTAAAACATGTTTAACTAAAAAATTAAAAAATGAATTCTAAACCCATGCATTTTTTTAAAGTATTTATAAAATAAAAACAATGTTGGATTCCAAAATAAAATAGTTCTCATGTATTTTAAAAATAAAAAATTAAAAAAAATTGTTTAACAAAAAATTTAAAAATGAATCCTAAAGCGTTTTTATAGTATTTAAAAACAATGTTGGATTTCAAATAAAAACACTACAAAAAGTAATATTTTTCCAAAATGTTAACCAGATTTACATTTTATAAATAAAATTGAAAATTTTTGAAAAATATAACTAAAAATGTAAATCTGCTTTATAAAAACATAATGTTCGCTAATAGCCTAGGTAAAGAAGTAATTTAAAAAACCGTATAGAATAAATAAAAAATCTCGAGGTATTAAAACATTTTTTTTTTTTTTTGAAAGACATTGTTAAACAAATTTTTGAAATTAAAATTGAAAGAGAGATTAAAAATAAGTTGATGAAACTGACATATTTTTTAAATTAGAATTTTTTCTTTTCTCGTGCAAAATTCTTTGTGTAAAATATTAAAATGAATTGAAATTTTTCTCCAATGGAAAGCTACCTTATGAGGTAACTCAAAAATCGTAAATTCAAATGAAAGTGAAGTTTGCAACGTTTGTGATGGACGAAATTATTTTTTTTTTAAGCAAACATTAAAAATAGGTGGAAGGTGTATAATAAATTGAATCTTTAAGTATGTATAAACAATTTTTTTTTATTTTTACTGAAACATGTTTTATACATACGATTCAGGGAATTCGAATGCAACATCACGGCCAGTTAATTTTTTGTAGACAGATGCGAAAGTGTCAACCTGAAGAGAAAAATTTAGAGTGTTAACTAACATAATGTTAAAAATAAAGACAAAAGTTTATAAATTTTACGCACAGTTAAAAAAATTTATAATTTATAAAAAAGTTTTAGAAAAAAGAGTAAAATTTGAATTATAAATTTTACTCCTTTCGCTTTAACTCCAAAAAGGTGTGATTTAGAATTACGTTTTGGAGTTAAAATTTTTCTCCTTTTTACAGTAATATTCAAGTAGATATAACTTCGTTAAAAACTAAAGGCTTTCAATTTATATATTTTATACTTCATTTTTTTTATCATTTCTATTATTAAGCTGATATTTTTCCAATAAAATATCTGAAAATAAAAGTAGGACAATATACATTTAAATGATAAAAACCAACTTTTTAAACACTTCTTTTATTTTCTTGAAACCATATTATTGTCCCATTTTCAAACTTTGCATAATTTATTGGAAAAACTCTCAACTTTTCAAAGAAAATGATTTAAAAAAATTAAATCGAGAGGTATTTTTTTGGTTAAAAATTGAATTAAATAATGTTTATTTTTTATTAAAAAGTACACAAAAAATTAAAATCTGTCAAGACCAGAAAACTAAAATTTTTACTCTTGATCGTTTCATGTGGAATTGTTAAAATTTTAAAAGTAGAAAATACTGAAATTAAAACATAAACCCATAAGGTCGAACTTAAAATTATGCTTGAAAGTAAAGTAATTTGAAAAATGAAATTTAAAAAAATTATATGAAAAATAAGGCGATTGTAGCAAAAACTATTATTCAAAAATAAAAAAATAATTTAAAAAATTATTCAGACTAAAATATTTTTACTTGATCGTTTCATGTGAAATTGTTAAAAAGTAGAAAATACTAAAATTAAAAACATAAATTATAAGGTTGAAGTTAAAATTATGCTTCAAATACTATCGATTCTTTACAATCATCATTATATAAATAAGAAAAAATACTATTAAAAACAATAATCATTTGTTAGGGTCAATTATTTTAAACATGATTCAAAGTAATTTAAAATAAAATTTTTAAAAATTATATAAAAAATAAGGCAATTATAGCAAAAACTATTATTTAAAGGTAAATCAAAGGTTTTTTTTCTAAGAAGCAATGTTTATAGTAATAAAATCCTCAACGTTTTTAATAAACAGTTTAAATTTTTTTTTAATTTTAAAAAGCTTTTTTTAAACAAAAATTTTGAGTTACAAGAGTTTATGATTTTAATTACACGCGAGATTTTTGTTTTTTAAATGAAAATTTCAACCTACCTTGTGCTCAATATTGGTTTGTTCATTCTTATCAAGATGAACTTTAATAAGCTGCGAACCATCAAGCTTGACTCGGATACGTTTTCCTACAATTTCAACGGGGAAGACCAAATCCTCGAGAAGAGCGTCATACACTGCAGTGAGAGTACGGCTGCAATGAAATTTTAAAACATTATAGTATAAAATAATTACTAAATCAGTTAAAAAATTTTTTTGTTCCTTCATGAAGAATTTTTGTAATTTGAGGAATCACAGTATTTTTTTTTCTTTAAAACGTGAATTATTTTCAAAAAAGTGAGTGACAAGAAAACGACAAAAAAATACATAAAATTTTATATTCAAAAATAAGTAATTTGTATTTAATGAAGTTTAGATTCATATTATTTTTTCCTTCATAATTAAAGATTAAAAAGAAAAGATTAAAATTTTTTAATTTATTGATAGAACTTACAAATTTTTTATGAATAAAAATTGGGAATAAATTTAAAATTTCGATTAATTGGAATTTAGAATCTTTGAAATATGGAACAAGTTATTATTCTTAAGTTCTGAAAATAGAAATTATTGAAATTTATTTATTTCCTTTTTAAATTCAAAATTTATTAAAAGAATATTGCGTCGAATTTGAAAAAAAAATTATGAACAAGTTTTAAACGTTTAAATAAACGAAATATTTTTTACTGACAATTATTCCCATAAATTCCTGATTGTATTAAAAATTAGAGACTTAAATTTAATGTTTACATTTAGAAACTCTATAATTAATTTTTTTGATAGTGACACAAAATTCTAATAAAAATTGAATTTGAAGAAAAAATAAAAATTTATCGTCTTCAACGGCTGAGGTGCTTAAAACGCAATAAATAAATTTCGTTCATTTGAAAATTCGCAACTTTTAAAACATTAATTTACATTTAATTGTTCTTAATTTTTTATTTTTATTAATTATTTATTGATTCTTTATTATTATTTTTCAATTTTTACTAATTTCAATTTTATTTTTCGTTATGTTTATTATTATTTATTTATTCCTTTCTTTTATTTAGTTTCTATAAAATTCATATTGAAAATTCTATTTTATTAATTTCATTATCTATTTATTTTCTTGCTAACTATTAATTTAATGTAATCCTAACTTCAAATATTTAACTCTTTTTTTTAGATTTTTTCCATTTTTGTCATTTATTTTAGTATTTTTTGTCTTCGTTTATTTGACGCATTAATTTCTGGTAAGATAATTATTTATATTTAATATCTTTTTATTTTATTTTTTTATTAAAAATTCTAAGCAATTATTTAAAAATTTTAAATGTTTGTAAGAATTTTAAATATAAACGAAATACAACTTGCATGAAAAAATGATCCATAAAGAATCTTCATATTAATTTTTTCCATCAAAAAGATAACTTTTAACTTAAAAAATATAATAACCAAAATTTGTTCCTTTTTATTTTCAATAAACAGATAAAATTCCGAAAAAATAACAGCCTAACGCCAATAAATGTTATTTTTTCAATCAGATATTTAACGAAAAAAACCTTCAATTCTATAAAAAAAATACGATTAAAATGAGCCTATAAACTTTAATTTCTTCGAAAGATATAATGAAATTAGTCAAATCACTGAAAATGGTGTTTTTGTTAAATATCTGATTGAAAAATTAACATTTTCAATTTGTTCGTTGAAATTTTTTTTTTTAAAATGGCAAAAAAAAATCCAATTTAAAGAGTGTAATATAAATTTAAAAAGATTACCTCCTTGGTCTCTTTTGCTTGTTCTTTGTCCTCGTTTTTCTTGTTGGTTTAGGTAAAATTTTCCTATCTCCAACGAACATAACATGTTTTCCAGAAAACTTCTTTTCCAATTCACGTACCAATCTCGTTTGAATTTTGTGGAACGCCTGGAGTTTTGGCATTGGAACGTAAATGATGATCGACTAGAAAGAGAAGAATTTTATAAGTACATGGTTAGAAAAGAAATTAAATTTGAAAAAGAATTTTGTTTTCTTAAAAACTTTTTTTTTAAATTTACATAATTTTTATTTTTTTTACAATTTTTTAACGAAATCTCAAATAATTTTTTTAAAGAATTAAAAATTTTCATAAATTTTATTTTTTAATCATATTGATCGTCATTGCAAAAATTGAATATTGTTCGAAGAAAATAAATTTGAAAATTACCTTTATTGGAAAAAGAAATTTTTAGAAAATTACCTTTACGAGAAGAAAGAAAATTGGAAAAAAATGTTTAGAAAGACTGCACCCCAACCAAATTTATAATTAGATAATAAAATTATTGCACAATTGAGTTAAAAACAAACATTAAGATTTTTAATTTCATTTTGTTAATGAAATTAACGACTATTTTATTAATATAAAAAAATGTACAAATAAAATACTTACTTTCTTGTTATTAGCTTCGATCTCTCTAGCTTTTGTAATGTGAAGTTCACGAAGTTGAGACTTCAAATCACTATTCATTTCCAATTCCAAAAGAGCCTGCGAGACACTAGCTTCACAAACATCCGGCTCAGCGCCGCCGCTTTTAACAATTTTCGCGTTTGACGTGAACATCTGAAATTTACCAAAAAAAATTTAATCTGAATATATTAGATATAATTAGACAAATTTTAATTCTTCGATTCTACTCGAAAAAACTGGGGTATATTATAAAATAACTACAATAAGAAAAAAATGACTAAAAAAATTAAACTCCAAAAATGAATCTAAAGAAATTGATTTTAATCACTCTTTTGTAATTTATATTCTTATTTATACTTTGTGTCTTTACTATTCTGTTCTTTTTAATAAAAATAGGGATAATTATCAAAAACCATTTGACAGGTTATGAACATAATTTTTATAGGTTAGAAAGTATGTTTACAAGAATAACAAATTTTGTCTCTGAGATAAAATTATGAAAAGGAAATTTTATAAAATTCAGCACAAAACAGTATTAAAATACATTTTAAAAATAAATTATAGTCGAGTTAATAACACTTGAAAAGAGATATTTATGAAACGTGATAGAAACACTCGTGAAAAATTCCCATTCCAAATCGATACACATCCACTTCACAACATAACATTAAAATAAAATGTAGAAATATTCCCAAAGAATAACTGACGTTAAATAATTGTGCATAAAAAGTTTTTCATTTTTTTAAACATTTACTTGTAAAATAGAAAGAAATTATCTCTTTTAAAAAACCACGCACCTTGTTCGCTTACAGTCCGCCGTGAAAAAGAGAAAAAATTAGAAAGAGACAAGAAATTACAATTGCAAAGACTATAAATATGAATTAGACGGGAAACTCGCTTTGGATTTTGAATACTTTCAGCGCCACGCGGTTGAAAGTGAACATTAATGGAACTTGAATTTGAAGTAAATTTCTTTAAAATTCAAAAGAAAGTCATGTAAACTTAAAACAATTAAATTTACTAATTAGTAAATGCAATTTTCCATTCTTTTCTTATTTTTTTCTTTTTTTTGAATTCGTAAAATTTGAATGTTTGTTTGTGAACTGCGGTGAACTTGTAGACAACTTCAGAGACTCCAGTCAAGAGTGGTGGAAGGGAAGGGGAAATGGAGGTTCTCCACAATTTCGAAGGTCGAAAATCTATTATTTATTTTTTAATATTTTGTTAATTAGTAAGTAATACAAAAAACAGTTTCCCAACTCAATGATTATCTCGTGAAATATAAGAAAATATTTCTTTTCCTGTGTACAATGAATTTAGAGAAGTTAAAAATTTCTTTGAAATGAAACACGATAATAATGATCGTGTGATGTCAAAATCACAGAAAGTTATTGATATGCAAATAAATTGTTGGAGTTAATTGACATAGTGAGGGAGAAAAAAAATCGGATATCAACACTAATTGTGAATATCTTCTGTTTCTTCTCAAAAATGCAACAAGAAGGCACACCGAAATTCTTAAAATTTCATCAAGGAAGAGTCAGGGGTGTTGCTTTCAGTCCACGGGTATTATGTCACTATTTCTTATATTTTTTTTTAATTAAATTTTCTATATTTGAAAATAAAAAAGAGATAAATAGGAAAAAATTGACATGAGATTAAATATTTAAAAAATGAATAATTAATGTAAAATAAAATCTTTTTATTTTATCTTTTTGAGAAAATTGTTATTTGTGCTGAGAAAATTGACATTATTCTAATTTGTTTTTTTTTTTCCTTAGGATCGGTATTTATTTTGCTCGGGAGGCTACGATGGCAAAGTTAATCTCTATTCAGCTTTGCGCATGGAATTACTTACATGCTATCAGATAACTGCAATGACACAAACACAAAATGTCAATGCTGTAAGATTTACTTCAGACGGTTCGAGGGTGGGTATTTTATTTTATTGAAAATATATTTTTCCTTTTGATATATAAACTATAATAATAAAAATTCTATTAAAGTTTCTTTTTTTAGAATACTAAAATCTATTCAAATTTTGGTAAAAAAGTAAAGAATTAAATTAATTAAAAAAAAAAAATCTCTCAAAAATAATTAAATTCGTATATTAAAATAATTATTACTATTTATTATTGTAATTAAAATTGTTATCTAAACGAGTAAGAATTTCTTTTTCTTTTAACTTTAAATTAAATAAAAATTTTCTTTCTGAATTATATATATATTTTTTTTTTATATTTTCCGTAGTCCGTAATTTTTTTTAAATTTCTAATAAAAATTTTTATTACAATACTCTTGTTTTAAAATTACATAAATTTCACGATATACGAAGTGAATTTCAGAAAAAAAACTAGTAAAATTTACTCTAAAAATAATATTTAATAGCAAATAATGCAAATTTTATTAAAAATTAGGTTAAAAGAAAAAAATTAAGAAATTCATTTAAACATTAATATCAATTATGAAAATTGAATAAAAAATTCAAATAGTCATTTAAACACAATTGACAATTATGAAAATTGAATAAAAAAATTCTGTTAATTGTGTAAATAAGGAGGACAAAAATAATTAAATAAAAAAGTCAGCTTTCCGCTTTGATAAACATTTTATACGTAAGCGTTTAGTTTATGTTAAAAATTGTCAAAGCTGAAGATAAGAATAATAATATATGGCTTGACGAAAATAAAGTATTACCAAATGTAGTTCAAATTTTCTGTTTATAAAAAAGGTTATCAATTTATTTAATTTTGCACAATGCATTTTTTGCATTTATTGTATTTATTTTGTATTTATATTTTTATATTTATTCCACATAAATAGAATAAAAAATTGCTTTTTTATTTTTTCAAAATAGTCCAATTGATTTATAATAATTGTAAAAGTACAAAAAATAAAATTAAAAATAAAATTAAAAGAAAAAAAAGTAATTTAAAAATACATACTTATTTGTTTAATATTAACTCTTTTTAATTAACTTTCATACGATATGCAAACTTATTAATTATATTTTTTAAAAACAAAAATAATTACATTCAAAACTGAAAGTTTGCTTTTTTCGGTTATTTTTACACTTATCAATTTTTTCAGAAAAACGAAAAATGCTGATTTTTATTTTAAAATTAAAGTTTCAACTTTTTTTCCATTCCATTAAATTTTGGGAAACGACCTACTTTTTTCGTTAAATCAAATTTAAGAATCTGTTTTTTTGAAATACAACTTGGAAAATATGAAAAAAGCCTGGAAATCGAATTATATTTTTCGTATAGAAATTCTGTCCTTGTATTTGAACCTTCAATTTTCGCTGTTTTTGCTGTAAACAACAGATTTTTTAAATTGATTTAACAAAACAAAAAACAAACAATAGCTTTTTGTACAATGCTAAAATTTAATAGAGGATGAAAAAAAATTTGTACTTCAATACTTAATTCAAAGATAAAACAATTCTACACTGAAATAATTGATTGAAATAATCGTCTACTTAACTATTATCAAATAAATTTCATTTGCGTCTAGACAGTGGTATTTTTGCTCCAAATTGCAGTAATTATTTGATGGATTATTTTTCATTTCATGGAAATAAGAATTACTTTCTTTAAATTCACATTTTAAACTTTTAAAAGCAAATAAACCTTTTAAACGTTTCGTAAATTCGAAGTATAAAATTTTCGTACCGATATTTATAATTATGTCAAGAAAATAATATAAACATTCCGAACAATTCTTTTTATAGTAATTTTTTGTGAATAATTCAATGGTCATAAAATAAAATCGTTCAGAAAATATTTTTGAAGTATTTTATTTTACGAAAAAATAAAATATGACTTTCTGAAAATTAATTGAACCAAACATTAATAAATACATTTGAATGACAAAAAAAATGAAGGAACACAAAAAATTGAAATTCATTTGCAATTCTAGGTTCTGGCTGCAACTAATGCAAGAAGATTAGTCGTTGTCGATGTTGAAAGAGGAGAGCAACTTTTAGCCTATGATAATTGTGCATTCAACGGAAATGGAAATCGAACCGGATTAGCTACTGATCCCGCGGGACCAAATTTAGCAATTTCCGTTGCTGTCAATGGAAAAGGTCTTACACTAGTCGATCTTCGAATGCCACTGCCATTAGATTTTGTGTATGACGTGAGTTATTTCTTAATATATCATAAAAGTTTTCGAAAGTTAAAAATTATACACAAAAATCTACATAACTTTTTTAATTTAAAAACTTATGATATAGAATCAACAATTTTTTGAATTAAAAAAATTATGCAATTTTTTTTTGTTTTTACGTTAAATACTCTTTATAAAATTAGATTACTAATTAATTAAAAAACTTTTTTTGCAGCTTCACGGATCAGTTATAAGAGACATTTGCTTCTTGCCTTCTTCTTGGCCGTGGCAGAATTCCATTCTAACCGGAGGATCTGATGGCACATGTAAGGTTTCATCACCCGATGGCAGAGTTTTACATACTTTCCAAACTGGACATTCTGTTAATACAGTTTGCGTAACTCCTGAGCCATTTTGTCGAAGTGCAGAAGATGGATTTTACAGTAAGATACAGATATTAATAGATTTAATTATACCAAGCGTATCTAATCTTTTTAAAAAATATATTAAATTAACAGGCTTCACAGTCTGTCCCCAATTTCCTAAAAGTCCCCATTTTTTAATTATGACCCCTAAACGTACCCTATTTTGAAAATTTCCCCTATTATTTTCGTCGCAGGAAATCAATTATTTTCAATAATTTTTAAGTAATTCTGCAAAAGAATTCAATTATCTTGATAACCAACAAAATTCTCCCCATAAAATCAATCATTTTAAGGATCTTTAATTAAATTCTTTTCCAAAATTCAATTATTTTGCTAAATATCAAAATTCTTCTCAAGAATTCAATTATTGTCAAAAATTTTAATTAAATTCTTGGCAAAATTTCAATTATTTAAACAAAATGTAATAAAATACACGAATTCAATTATTTTTATAAACTTTAATGAATATCTCGTCAAGAATTCAATTATTTTTATGAATAGCAAATTTTTTCGCCAAAAATTCAATTATTTTCAAAAATTTAAATAAAATTCTTTGCAACATTTCAATTATTTTCAAAAGTTTTTCGCAATTCAATGTTCAAATTTAATTGTAGAAAAAACTTGTTGATACAATTCTAAGAAAAGATTCAATTATTTTCATAAATAATAAAATTTCATTTACGAATTCAATTATTTTCATCGCAGAATTTCAAATATTTTTAATACAATTTTAAATAAATTTCTCGAAAAATGCAATTATTATTAAAAATTTTATTAAAACTCGAGGAAAGAATTCAATTTTAAAAAATATTTAATTATTCAATCAAACAATAAAATTCGTTGCAATAATTTAAATATTTTCATAACTCCCATAAAATCAATTATTCTAAGAAATTTTAATAAAATTCTTTTCCATAATTCAATTATTTTGACAAATATCAATATTCATCACAAGAATTCAATTCTTTTGAAAAGTAATAAAATACTTTGCAGAAATTAAATTATTTTCAAAATTTTTTTAAAATTCTCGCCAAGAATTAAATTTTCTTTATAAATAGATAGGGAAATTCTTCTCAAGAATTAAATCATTGTCAAAATTTTTTTTAAAATTTTTCTCAAGGAGTCAATTATTTTCAAAAATTTGAATAAAATTCTTTTTATGAATTCAATTGTTTTCAAAAAGTTTTCAATTATTTTCAAAAATTGTTATAAAATTCTTTAATATAATAAATTTCATTAAAATTTTAATTCAATTCCTTAAAAGAAATTAAATGTTTTCAAAAGTTGTTAATACAATTCTTCGTAAAAATTAAATTTTAAGAAACATTCAATATTATTTATTTTAGTATATTTAAATAATTGATTTCTCGTATAAAATATTGCTTTTCGTACCTTTAACTAACAATTCTGTAGAATTAATTTTTTTGAAAAAGTTTAATGGAATAATAATTGATGTTATTGATTTAAAGTATAATTTTGGTTAAAAATTCTAAAAAATGTTAATTGAATGAAAATGATAAAAATAATTTTGAAGAAATTACAGTGACAATATTCTCATAATAATAAAATAATGATTTTGTCAGTTGGTTATCTTTAATAATTATAAAACACAAATATATTTTACCAAAGGGTGGAGACTATTAACTAAGTAAAGTATTTTTGAAGAGCACAAAAATAATAAAGCTAAATGCCATAAAAAAGAAAGAAAAATGTTGAATTTTCAGAAATTCGGTTTTCGAATTTTTGATAATTTTTGACAATTTTAGATTCTTTACCAAAAAGTGGAGATTATTGAATAAGTAAAGTATTTTTCAAGAGCACAAAAATATTGAAGCTAAATGCCATAAAGGAAAAGGAAAAATGTTGAATTTTAGGAAATTCGGTTTTTCGAATTTTTGAGAATTTTTGACAATTTAAATTTTTTTACCTAAAAGTGGAGACTATTAAATAAGTAAAGTATTTTTGAAGAGCACAAAAATAATGAAGCTAAATGCCATAAAAGAGAAAGAAAATTGTTGAATTTTAAGAAATTCAGTTTTTTGAATTTTTGCTAATTTTTGAAAATTTTAGATTTTTTACCAAAAAGTGGAGACTATTAAATAAGTAAAGTATTTTTGAAGAGCACAAAAATAATGAAGCTAAATGCCATAAAAGAGAAAGAAAATTGTTGAATTTTAAGAAATTCAGTTTTTTGAATTTTTGCTAATTTTTGACAATTTTAAATTTTTTACAAAAAAGTGGAGACTATTAAATAAGTAAAGTATTTTTGAAGAGCACAAAAATAATGAAGCTAAATGCCATAAAAGAGAAAGAAAATTGTTGAATTTTAAGAAATTCAGTTTTTTGAATTTTTGCTAATTTTTGACAATTTTAAATTTTTTACAAAAAAGTGGAGACTATTAACTAAGTAAAGTATTTTTGAAGAGCACAAAAATAATGATGCTAAATGCCATAAAAAAGAAAGAAAAATGTTGAATTTTAAGAAATTCAGTTTTTTGAATTTTTGCTTAATTTTCCATAATTTTGGATTTTTTACCAAAGGGTGGAGACTATTAAATAAGTAAAGCATTTTTGAAGAGCAAAAAAATAATGAAGCTAAATGCCATAAAAGAGAAAGAAAAATGTTGAATTTTAAGAAATTCGGTTTTTCGAATTTTTGATAATTTTTGATTTTTTGCTAAAGGGTGGAGACTATTCAAATAGTAATATTATAGGTACTACCGAAATAGCTAATGGTAACTAATTATTAATTTTCCGGTCAAATTAAATTCCCGGCTATTTTCTGATTTTCCATATTGGTAGAAACATTGTTAAATGTATTGGTAGAAACTAAAACCCGTCGAAGACCGGTACGACAGCTAGTTTGTAAATTAATTTAATAAAACATTTTTTTGAGTATCTAATAATTTTGAGAGTGAATTAGAATATTCTTCAGAATCAGGGAAAAAGTCAACGTTGTGTTTGGAAATCAGGGAAAAATAAAGTTAAATTTTTGTGGCATCCCTGTACAAAGAAATTATATTTTTATCTTTATTTAACCGATTTTTATGGTCCCCTAAAAGTCCCCTATTTTTTAATTTTCAGTCCCCTATTTCCCCTAAAATACTTTTTAGGTGCACTGTGGAGCCTGAATTAAGAATTTAGTCGCATTCAGTAAAGAAACTATTTTTTAAAGGTTTAATCATGAGTGGCGGTGATCTTGTTTCGGCTTACGTTCCCGACAGCGGGATTCAAGAACATCTCAAGGAACAGAAAGATTCGCCAATTTGGAAAATGAGATACACTTCGAACGGCAGTACGCTTTTCTCTGTTTGTGATGGGGGAATTTTGAGACGATACAGAAGATATCCAGATCATCATGAATATCTGGGAGAAGTTTATCGGCACAAAGGAGATATTCAGGACGTAGATGTTTCTCCGTACGATGAATGTATCCTTTTATTGATTTTTAAAATTTTTATTATTTTCAATTTACTTGTACATAATTTAATATTTCAAACTGGAAACAAAATTCTAATTCATTTAAAACAATTGGGGATCATTAGGAATACATTGTTTTAAGAACAAAATTTGGTACGTGGTCACTTTTTCTTAAAAATATTTTCTAATTCTTTTTGTCTAAAAAAAAGGCGATTTCTACTGAAATCTGTTTTCTAAAAGAATTTTTTCTAACAAGTTTTGATTTGTAAAAAAGTTTTTCTAAAAGGTTATGATTTCCAATATTTATATACATCAAATTTAAAGAAATACGTTTTCCTTATAGAAAAAAAAAGATATTGTTACTGCCTCAAAAGATCAAAGTGTCGGAGTACTTTTGCTAGGACCTCCGAATCATGGATTCACTGAATACACAGAATTAACATGATACTGGTTTCTAATGAAATCCGTCCTTGTCATTTTTTAAGTAGAAGCACTTGAGGTGATAAACTCTGTATAATATATGCAAAAAATGAAAAAAAACCTGATGAAAATTTAATTGTGAAAGAACAATGATCAGGTTCAGTGTAATTGTATATCACTCATGAAGCTGTACAGCCTTGATAATTGGCTGTTCAAAAAAAATTTTTGATGTGTGTGGCTTATTTATATTTTGTACAGAATCCCCAAAAAAAATGTTGTTACTGATGTTATAATTTTACGGAAAATGTTAAGGAAATGGTACAATTGCTTGTACAATATTTATAAATAATAGGAACGAATGCTTCAAGAAGATCGCAGCTCATTTCCACTAATAAAACCTCAACACATATATATATTTAATATATATATGTTAGAATTCTCTCAAGTAATTTAATAAGTGAGTGTCTCTCATTTGTGTAAATTTTTGTGCATTCTCCAGCGATTCGTTTAGAATATTTAGATAAATCTTAAGGTAATTTTGTTATCCTTTTTGCTCATAATTAATAATTCAATCGTTGTGGTGCGATACATTTGTTTCTATTCAAATGTTTTAATTAATTGTGAAAACATTTGTGAATATGTGGTACGATTGAAAATTTAAATTTATTTAAGGTGATGAGGAATGAAAATTGCGAATATTTTTTTTTTCAGAGCACATTTAGTGTTTAATTCTTTGTTTTTGAGCTCTAAGAGCTTTTTTCGGCTTTAAATATTTTTATTCAAATAATGTTCTTTTTGTCTTTATTTTTTATTAACAAGCAAATGAAAGAAATAGACTAAGTTCATTGAATGTTGAAACATTTTTCAACAGATAATACTACCTATACTTTATATTATTTTCTTTATTTAATTTTTATACTGCGAAATATGCAGACAAATTTCTGTTTTTCTTTTAATTTTTCCTAATCCAGTGTGAAAATTTTTATTGCGACACCACCAAAGACTATCAAATTTAAGAAAATTTATTTTACTGTTATAAGAAATTTCATCGCGAAAACTTTGTGTATCATCAGAATGATAATAAAAAGGAACAAACAGTTAAGCAGTTTCTTTTTATTATAGATAAAGTTTAATAAAAGGGTTTTAGGATTTAATAGTGTCTTAGAAATAAATATTAAATATATTTAAAATGTAATTAAGAAATATTTGTGACGAGCTCTGAAGAAAAGTATCAGTGAAGAAAGGTGAAGCTTTCACTTTAAGGTTACGTTTCTTATTTTTACTTCAATTAAAAGTTTCTTTTTAATCTTCTAAATTTAAAACCAGTTGTTACTGATTAATTTCCATAAAATGAAGACTTGAACGTCAATAATTTAATAGTATAATTTATTTTCTTGTATTTTTACTCAAAAAATTATAAACATAACCTAAAATTGTTTGCTTAGGTACTTTTTTTTGGGGGAGCACGTCACATATTTACAGTTCGAATAGTATTTTTGTGAATTTAAAAAAATGTACGGAATAAAAAATTTAACTTTAAAGCAGTGTTGGGATGTGACTTTAAAAGTTCGTTTCTTGTAATTATATGCAATAGATACGGGTTTCCACTGCTTCTTTTTTTACCTAAATGAGGCCATTGACCAATTATAATGTTCACACCTGGAAAATAAAAAGAACTTTTGAATACCGTCTTCATTGAATGAAAAATCTATACTGTTTTACTACACTAACGTGAATTTTTTTAAAATAAAGCAGAAAATTAGATAAAAAATAAAATAATTAAAAAATAACATTTAAAGCATTTGAGGATTGAAAATTGTAAATGCAAATGGTGGAAATGAAAAGAAAATTGTATTTAAAATAAAAATAAAATTGAAAAATTGCAAATAACAAAAAACAAAAAAAAATTATATTTACTTCAAATAAAATTTTTCTCTGGATGTTGATTTGAATCCAATTAATAAAAATCTATTTATTTCTTATATTACTCACTATGCCAATGACTTTCATTTGAAACTGAATATTATAAAAAAATAATTAAACAAATGAATATTTACAAGAAAAAAATAAAAGAACGTATAATGTGTTTTTATAGCAAAACGTAATTAGTTATGTTCATTTAGATAACATTTGTTTTTTAATTTTCAAAGCGTACGATAGTGACAGTTAAATAGTTGTTATCTAAAGAATTTATAAACATTCGGTAAAAGAAAAAGTTGATTTTTAATTATTAAAATATTTTTATACACTTGAAATAAGAAAAAAAAAATACACACCGTGAATATTTTAGACCTATTCGGGAGAATAGTAAAGTAGGGACTTAAAAAGTCTTATTATCACTAACCACTTCCAGTTGTGGTTTGCTTCTGTGAGGGAATTGTTGTGATAAAACTTCGTTGCCTTTTGAGTTTAAAAAAAAAATTTGCACAACGTACAGTGTTAACTATATACATTTATGTTTATTCATATTTACAAATATAACAAATTGCCATAGTTTCGACATAGTTTTTCATGAATTTCATTTCTTTTATTTTTATTTGTTATTCGTGTAAAACAATATTAATTAACTAACAATGAGAAAACTAAAAATTTATAATTTATCTATAGAGAAATAATTAATTCTTTTTTTTCTCTTTCTTTTTCAATAATTAATTTTTAATTTCTATTTACAAGATAATTTTTATAATTTTGTTATCACTAAAATAAACAATAACAACAACAACAATAATTTAATAATAATAATAATAATAATAATAATAATTTAATTGTAATAATAATGATAATAATTCCCTTTAAGTATTTTTAACAAATTATTTTGAAAGAAAAATATTGTTAAAAATTTTGAAAATTTCTTTAAACATTTAACGGAAAGTAACTTTTTACTAACAACTTATACTAACAATGAGTAAAATAATTTACTAATTTAAATTTTATTTTTGAATTTAAACTAATACATTTAAAATAATTTATTAATTTTATTTTATTTTTTAATCTAAAATAATAAATTTAAAATAATTACAAGTGAAATTATTTATTTCTTTTTACAAAATTTTAAAACATTTGTAATTTGATAATTATATTACATTATACAGGTATAATTTTTTTAAAATGTTAGTAACAGTGCAGATTTATAAAAAAGAAGATTTATTAAAAGAAAAGAAAAAAAGGGAAAAAATATTTATATAATTAGTGTAATTAAAATACGGATGTCGATAAGGGGAAATATTCAATATTATGATAAATTCTATTTTTATTCATTTGACAAGTGTCTTAGATAATAAGAATTGTAATAACTATCGCATTAATTCCATAGGAAATGTGCCAGGGAAAATATATTGATAGGTATAATATACACATATAAGAGTGGCCTTGTCTTTGATATTCATAATTTTCTCTCTCTTTAAACTTTAATGTTCATTATCAAGTTTCTTTTAACACTGCAGGATTAAATTTGCCTTTTTTGCATGGACAGTTAAGCTTTTATAATGTTCTATTGTAAACATAATGAATCTGAACATTGAATCTAAAAATGTTAATATTATTTTATTTTTATTCCATCAGAAACTTGAAACGGTTTTTTCAGGTCATTTTTTTAAATTATTACAGAAAAAGTAAAAATCAGGAATGATATTAATATTTTATTTTAATTTGTATATTTCAGGATAATACGCGAATGAGTTATTAATTTAATAGCAGTTAAATTAAATCGTAATTCACATGAGAATAATTTTAAGCTTCATCTTTAATTTCTACGATTTTTATTTTGCTTCATAAGTAAATTCAAAAATTTTATTGATTTCATTAATTTCATTAATTTCATTATTATTATTATTATTACTATTATTATTATTTTAATTTTTATAACTTTTCGACTTTTTTCGACTTATTTTAAAAAATTGTGACTTTTTCTTCCAAATATGGCAACAAAATACCACATTTTTATTATAAAATGCATTATTTTTATTTCGATTATTATAGTGTGAAAAATAACTAATATTGACAAATCTTTCAAAAATTATTTTTGAATAATTTTTCTAATTAAATTTATCAAATATACCTATTAAAAAAATTTTAAACAATTAGAACTTTGTAAAATTTAATTAAGAATAATTGACTTTTTTCCATTGGATTTTATAACAACTTTTAAAAATCAACTTGTAAAAAATTAAAATTGTTTTTTATTTATTGTAAACGGGGTGGAAAATTTTTAAAAGAATTAAATTTTAAAAAATTTTAATCTCAAAATCTTCAAGTTGAAATTTAAAAATGAAAATTAATCAAAATTAGCCTCTAAAAATGATATTAAAATATTTTTGTAAAAAGTAATTATTATAGAATTTTTTTTTCATTCTAATTTTTAAAAATTCAATTATTTTCAATATTTTTAATTATACAAATTTTCGAAAAATTAAATACGTACAAAAAATAACTTTAAAATTTTTTATAATTATTTTTAAAATTTTGAAGAAAACGTAATTGCATGTTCAAAATTTTTAATTAAAATTCTTCTAAAAGTTAATTAGCTTTTTTTAAATTATACAAAAACTCTTTTAAGAAATTCAATTATTTTCGAGAAATTACATCAGTTTATTTTTAAACAACTAATTCTTAGAATTGATTTATCGTAATTTTTTAAGATTCAATTATCTTCGAACAAAGAAAATTAAAATTATTGAAAATTTAATTTCTTAGACTTCTTAAAATTTCGTTGAAATTATGTTCATATTTATAATTAAAATTCTTTATATTTTTCAAAAATTAAATTATTTTGAAAAAAATTTTACCAAATTACCTAAAATTATTTTTAAAAAGTTTTACCAAACTTTAATTGTTGGGAAATTTTTCAATTGTACATATTTGATAAACTATTAACTCTCAATAATTATTTAAAAAATTTTTTCAAAAAATTAATTTTAAGAATTTTTTTATTATAATTTTTTGAAAATATAATACCTTAATAACTTTTTTAAAAAAACATGGACAGTTACAGTTATAATTTTATTTATTTTTTTTATTTATTTATTATAATTTTTATGAAAAATTGAATTTTTTTATTTAAATAATATAATTTTTTCGAAGAATTTTCGGAAAATTATTAAAAATAATTAATTTAGAGATGAAGTTTAGTTAAAAATTGCAGAAAACAATTTTAATTTTTAAAGAGTTATAGTAGTTGTAATTTTTAAAAATTATTGAATTTCAGAAAGTTTCAAAATTTTTTAAAATTATATTTAGAAGCGGAAATTATTATTATTAAAATTATTATTAAATAATTTTAAAAAGGAGTTAAAATATAATAAACAAAATTGTTATTCCTCGAAATATTATCTAATACTATAATTGAAATTTTTTTATAAACGTCAATAATTATTCCTATTTAAAGTATTTTTATTTATAAAAACATAAAACAGCCAACTTCATTGAAAGCAGAATGCGAGGTCAAAACGACAGTAAATAATTTTATCAAATTCTCTCGTAAAAACTTTTGAACACCAATTATAAACTTGTGAATCATTGTGAATTAAAAGCATTCTTAAAGAAAATTGTTATATTTTGAAGAGTAAATAAAAAAATATTAAAATTCAATTTAATTAGAATGAAAAAAAATTCTCCAAATAATTTCTAATCGAAATTTTTTAATTTTAACCTGTAAAATTTTTAATTATAAATCCGGTTAGTGATTCATAATTGCAAATATGAAAATTAAAAATAAAAAAAATTTTTTTTTTTTTAAATAAATAAAAATAAAAATTGTGTGAAAAGTAGTAAATAAATATGTACATAATTTGGATTTCGAAAGATTTTAAAAAAACATTAAATAAACATTAAATAATTTATTAAGTAACAATTTTGAAATTTACAACTAAAAATAAAAGAATTTCAGTATATGTAAAAATATGTCGTAAACTAAAAATAATTCATCAATTGAAAAGTGATTAAACATACTTATAATTTCCTGAATATAAAATCAAAGGATGTTGAACTGTATTGTGAAAAATTTATATGTTATTCTATTTCTGTTGGAAAGCAGAGTTAAATTTTCAATTCTCACAGGACTTAAATTTTTCATTTCATCAGTGAAACTGAAATATGAATTTCAAGTGAATCGAACAAAGAAGATGGTTTTAAATTAATAAAGTTGCGGATTAAAGAGGAACAATCATTTAAAACACTTTTTTAATTTCAATTTATACCGGAGATAAAATTTATTTCATCAAACAATATGAAGTATAGAATTATACCATTGGAGAGGAACTCCGACATTAGTTATCGAGTAAAGTGTGTTTCCGTTGAAAATGAACGTGTTTTTGGAGATGTTCTCGTCACAAATCAAATGCAAGATTCTGTTTATTGTAAAAATTGTTTCCCCTCCGTTTGGCGAAAAAAGAAATTTAATTTAATTAAAAAAACACTAGAGAGTCCTGATTTTATGGAAATGAACAGTAATCCTGTGTCTCGACGAAGAAGTACAATATGCCACGTTCCAGGAATGGTTCAGAAGAATTTTCAGAGATCAAAATCCGTTGGAGATGAATTTTTGCAGACAATTGACATAGAGGAGTTACAAAATCAAAAATTTTGTAATCCAAAGGTACTTTAGTGAGAAAAATTAAAATTACGAATAAAAATAAAATTGAATTATGATGTTGAAAATAATTTTAATTTATTGAAAATTATAACTATATTGGATAAGAACATAAAACTAATATACTTAACATAAATTTCTTTTGACATAAATTTCATTTAGCATAAATTTATTTAACGTAAATTTTATTTAACGTAAATTTTGTTTGACACAAAGTTCATTTGACATAAAAGACATTTAACATAATTTATATTTGACATAAAAGTAATTTTATTTTGTCATTTAACATAATTCTCATTTGACATAAAATTCACTTGACATAACTTTCATTGCACACAAAATCCATTTGACATAGATTTCAAAAGTTGTCATAAATTTCATTTGACATAAATTTCATTTGACATAAACTTATTTGACATAAATTTTATTTGACATAAAGTTCATTGGACATAAAACACATTTAACATAATTCACATTTGACATAAAAGTTATTCAGCAAAATTCTCATTTGACATAAAATTCATTTTATATAAATTACATTTAACATAAAAATATCGGCGCGAATTTTAAAAGTAACCAATTAGATATTATCAAGAACATTGTCATTTGACAATTTTAAAATTTTCTCCTCTATTTTCAGGTCAAATGACCTTTATGTCAAATGAAATCTTTGCCAACTTTTGAAATCTATGTCAAATGAGAATCATGATAAATGACTTTTCCGTCAAATGAAAATGTCAAGTGAATTTTATGTCAAATGAAATTGATGTTAAATGACTTTTATGCCAAATGAAATTTATTTCAAGTGAATATTATGTTAAATGAGAATTATGTTAAATGAATTTTATGCCAAATGAAATTTATGTCAAACATACCAAATTTCCTTTATGTTGATTGGATTTTATGTCAAATGAAATGTATGTCGAATAAATTTATGTCAAATGAATTTTATATATCGAGTATCAAATGAAATTTACGTTAAATAAATTTTATGTAAAACGAAGTTTATGGCAAATTTAAAATGTCAAAAGAAATTTATGTTAAGTATATTAGTTTTATGACATAAAATTTGTGTTAAATGAATTATGACAATTAATATTCATGTCAAATGGATTTTGTGATAAACTTTCAATTTTTTTTTACAATTTTTTCTATTTTCTCGTTAAATAAAAAAATACTTGCAAAATAAAATGGTTAAATATTTATTATAATAAATATTATAATTTACTATAATAAATACAGTTATTTCTATTAATTTATTAGTAAAATTTACTAATTCAAAAGCAAAAAATCAGGTGCTAATTCAAATTAGTAAATATTTTTACAAATTCAAATTTAGAAATTGTACTTTTGTTGTATTCTGAAATTTTGTATTACAAAAAATAAATAATATAATAAATAATATATATAATAAATAATATAATATATATTTTTTGACATTTAATTTTAGATTTATCCGGAGCCTTTAAATAATATAGAAACTGTAAGTAGAGGAAAAACGGTTACCACTTTAGTCGATCAACTTCTTTCGGATATTTACGGAATTCCAAGCAGCGATCGAGGGAAATCTGAAAGCGACTCATCGCTCTCTTCTAATTCGCAACTACGTCATACTCACTTACAAAAAACTCGTCTTATGCTTAAAAGTAAGAAATACTCAATATAAATGTGTAATATTCTAAAATAATTATTATTACCTACCAATTAAGTTAATTTTCACATATTTTAATTTTAAAAATTTTAAATTTTAAAAAATTTAAATTCGTATTATTAAGACGACGGATTTCTTTTTAAAATACGTGAATTTATTTGTCGAGGAATTATTGTTTTGAAGGTTTAGTCATGTTTCTGAATAACTATTTACCATTGTCAGTTGATGACTATTCAATTCAGATACTATTCAGTAAATGAAGAAAGAGACAGAACAACAAACAATGACATTTATTATTTAAAATAATGAAAAGTTTTATTATTTAATTTTTGAAAAGTTTAATTATTTTGTTTTTTGAAAAGTAAAAATTGCCATGCAAGAAATTTTTAATTCTTAAATGGACTCGGCAGGAAATACATTATGGTTTTGGGCTCCACACTCGATTTTCGTATTAGTTTTTGAATTAGGTTTTTCTTCCGGTTTAATACAAACTGAAAATTCAAATTTATAAGAAAAAAATTTTTTTTTTCAAATTACAATGCAAAATAATGTAATTTTTAACAATTCTTCCGCCATTTTGAATATTTGAAAGCTGACATCATATTTCTAATCAGCGATTATGAAAATCCCTGAGGAACAAGTTTCAAGCAAAATGGTGTATCTTTTAAAAATTTGACCGCCATATTGGATCCGCCATTTTGAATTTTCTAAATGTGCTGATTTGTATCGGCAACCCAAAAAATCTCTATGTAAAAGTAATTAATAACTTTTTAATATACGTTCTACGAGATTAAAATAAAGTAATAAATTGTAAAAAAAAAATAAGATTCGTAGATTTTTAGCCGTTTTATAAACTCGCTTTGTTAGAGCATGAGAGACAAATTTAAGAGGTTTGGCATGTAGCGATAAAATAAGTGGTTCTTCTATCGTGAAAGGTTGGCGGCTAAAGATAGGGTAAGGACCTGTTCTTCAAGTCAATGAGGGCGTATGACTAGCTTCACTTATGCATTGTCAGCCACAGTCCACGACTATAGGCTGAGCTTAATTTTATTTTTATTACTTATATAGTAATTTGTTCAAATTTATAAAATAGGTATAAGTATGTTATTACTAAATATAATATAATTTTAAAAAAAATTTATGAAAAATATATATATAGTAGTGTAACCCCAGTCGTTTTTTTAAAAAACGACTTGAAAAATAATTTGAAAAATAAAGAAGTTAAAAATCCTATATAAGAACCCATACGCGAACCCATATGTAATCCTACATAAGGAATCCCATACGAAAATTTACAAATAAGCAGAATTCCATAATCTCTACAATAGATTTTGTTTCAAAGTTTCGGCCATAATTTTTAACTGCCAATGAGTTAACTTGGTTTAAAGCAAAGATAAGAGTAACTTTTAGAGAGTGTTCTCTATATAACTATAAAGTTAAAACCGACAATTTCCGACAGTACTGTAATTATTACCTATAAATTATAATTATCATTAGCATAATGTACCATTTTTTTTTTTTTATGAAAGTAAAGAAAAATTATTTTTCACAGCGGAAAAAGAACTTCGTGTGGTACTTAAAACTTTAATGGAACATGTCAGTTATGAAGGTGGACTTTTAATTCGACAACTTCGTCGTCGAGATTATCTTCTTGCTAAACGCGATAAGCAATACGATGTCATTACGGCTCATCTTTATACACATTGTGAAAAGACAAGTAAGCAAATTCACTTTAATTAACAAAAAAAAATTTTAATTTCAATCATATTAAATGCCATTTATGCAATATAAATTATACGTCTAATGTTATGCGTCTCTTTTTGAATTCGTGATCGTATTCAGAGGACAAAAATCTATTGAAAATCGCTTCGATATTAAAAATGAAAAAATGTCTTGAAAATCCGTATAGAAAATATTTTTTTTGAATATTTACCTCCATTCTCAAAATCATAAAATGCACACTTTGAGTTTTAATTTAAGACCTTACTGAAGTTTCTAGCACATCAGGATAAAAAGAAAAAATATTTTAAATACATCGAAAAAAAACACGTTTTTCTGGGTCTTTACCCCCACTTTTCTCAAAATCCTGCGGAGTGCTAAGCAATTTTGGGTGAATTGAGTTCAGAGAATGAAAATGCATTGAAAACCACTCTAACATAAAAAATAAAAAAGCAGTCGAATTTTGCACGACTGCAAGCTTCACAGTCTGTCCCCTATTTCCCTAAAAGTCCCCTTTTTTTAATTTTGGCCCCTAAACGTGTACCCTATTTTGAAAATTTCCCCTGTTTTTTTCGTCGCAGGAAATCAATTATTTTCAATAATTTTTAAGTAATTCTGCAAAAGAATTCAATTATCTTGATAACCATAACAAAATTCTCCCCATAAAATCAATTATTTTAAGGATTTTTAATGAAAATCTTTTCCAAAATTCAATTATTTTGATAAATATCAAAATTCTTCTCAAAAATTCAAAGAAATTTTAATTAAATTCTTGGCAAAATTTCAATTATTTAATAAAATACTTTGCACGAATTCAATTATTTTTATAAATTTTAATGAATATCTCGTCAAGAATTCAATTATTTTTATGAATAGCAACATTTTTCGCCAAAAATTCAATTATTTTCAAAAATTTAAATAAAATTCTTTGCAACATTTCAATTATTTTTAAAAGATTTTTGCAATTCAATGTTTTTAAATATTTAATATTTTTATAAAATTTATCAACAGATTTAATTATAGAAAAAACTTGTTCATACAATTTTACAAATAGATTCAATTATTTTCATAAATAATAAAATTATATTTACGAATTCAGTTATTTTCATCGCAGAATTTCTAATATTTTTAATACAATTTTAAATAAATTCCTTGAAAAATGCAATTATTATTAAAAATTTTATTAAAACTTGAGGAAAGAATTCAATTTTAAGAAACATTCAATTATTCAATAAAACAATAAAATTCGTTGCAATAATTCAAATATTTTCATAAAAAAACATTTGATTTATTCGTCGCAGAAAATCAATTATTTTCAAACATTTTTAAATAATTTTGCAAAACAATTCAATTAGCTTGATAAATAACTAAATTGCATAAATTCTTCCCATAAAATCAATTATTCTAAGGAATTTTAATAAAATTCTTTTCCAATTCAATTATTTTGATAAATAACAATATTCATCACAAGAATTCAATTCTTTTGAAAAGTAATAAAATACTTTACAGAAATTCAATTATTTTTAAAAAATCTAAAATAAATTGTCAACATTTCAATTGTCTTTATAAAAGAATAGCAAAATATTTTTCGACAAAAATCAATTATTTTCAGGAATTTTAATAAAATTCATTGCAAAATTAAATTATTTTTATAAATAACAATATTCATTAGAAGAATTCAATTACTTACAAAATTAATCAAATTCTTTGCAGAAATACAATTATTTTCAAAAAATCTAAAAAAAATTGTCCTCAACATTTCAATTATCTTTACAAATGAATAGCAAAATATTCTTCGCAAAAATTCAATTATTTTCAAAAAATTAAAAAAAAATTGTCAACATTCTAATTGCTTTTCTTTATAAATAAATAGCAAAATATTTTTTGACAAAGTTCAATTATTTTCAGGAATTTTAATAAAACTCATTGCAAAATTCAATTATTTTCATAAATAACATTATTCATCACAAGGATTCAATTCTTTTGAAAAGTAATAAAATACTTTACAGAAATTAGATTATTTTCAAAATTTTTTAAAAATTCTCGTCAAGAATTAAAATAGTTTTATAAATGAATAGGGAAATTCTTCTCAAGAATTAAAATTATTGTCAAAATTTTTTTTTAAATTCTGCTCAAGAAGTCAATTATTTTCAAAAATTTTAATAAAATTCTTCTCATAAATTCAATTTTCAAAAATTATATTATTTAAATTCTTCTCAGGAATTCAATCATTTTTAAAAAATTTAATACAATTCTTAAAAAAGTTTTAATTTTAAGAAACATTCAATATTATTTATTTTTGTATTTAAATAATTGATTTCTCGTAGAATAAAGTTATTGCTTTTCGTACTTTTAACTAACAATTCTGTAGAATTAATTTTTTTAAAAAAGTTTAATTGAATAATAATAATTGATGTTATTGATTTAAAGTAGAATTTTAGTTAAAAATTCTAGAAAATGTCAATTGAATTGAAATGATACAAATAATTTTGAAGAAATTACAGTAACAATATTCTTATAATAATAAACTAATGATTTTGTCAGTCGGTCATTTTTAATTATTATAAAACATAATGAAATGGATCACTCCGAGTCTTCGATTCGATATCGTTACACTGTAAAAAAAGGGAGTTAAATTTTAACTCCCCCGGGGGGTCTATAAAAGTCGCTCCCATTGGGGAGTTAAATAAAGAGAGTTAAAATTTCACACCCAAATGCTAACTCCCCAAGGAAAAAATAACTTGCGCGGGTGTTGAATGAAGGGAGTTAGAAATTAACTCTCTTTTGAAGTTGATTTTTAACTCGAAAAATTTCACTCCCAACTCCCGAGTCCGTTAACTCCCTAAATTTTTTACAGTGTATCTTCATGTTCTGTAATAATTTTTTTTAAATTGTTTAATTTCAAAAAGGTTTGAATTTGAAAATTTTGAACATCTTACCTAATGAAAAAAAATGTTGTAATATTTATTTTAAATAAAACTATTGATGTTTTCGAATAATTTGACTTTTGAAAAAATTTGTACCTAAATCAATTTAATAAAACATTTTTTTGAGTATCTAATAATTTTGAGAGTGAATCAGAATATTCTTTAGGGTCATCAGGGAAAAAGTGAAAGTTGTGTTTAGAAATGAGGGAAAAGTCAGGGGAAAATAAAGTTAAATTTTTGTGGCAACCCTTTATTAATAAATTATATTTTTATCTTTATTTAACCAATTTTTACGGTCCCCTAAAAGTCCCCTAGTTTTTAATTTTCAGTCGCCTATTTCCCCTAAAATACTTTTTAGGGGCACTGTGGAGCCTGTATTTTTTAATCGTTACAACATTTAAAGATATGAAATTATTATATTTGAAAACTGTTTTATAGTCTTTACTTGAAAAAATAGTAAAATGCATTTTGTCAAAATTTGTTTTATAAATAATCCAGCTCCATTTATATAGGTACCTCTTCTATATTTATAGTGTAGAAGAAGCTCTAGTTGAAAATTCTTGCACAAGTTTATGCACATTTTTTTGTATAAGATCACGTACATTTTTATACACACAAGTTGCCGCACGTGGTCGACAAGTGATCAAGCAACTGAAATTGAAATATGTATAGTGAAAATATACATGAAACGGTATATGATCACGTACGAAAAATTTTTTCCTTCGAGATCCTTCTCAGTTTATGATTTATGTACATATGTCCATATTCCATGCATTTCTTGTGTATAAAATAAAATAATTTTTTTTGAAAAACTTTTATGAAATTTCAGGCATATTATTTTATAATTTGACAATACTAAACAACGTTGATGGGCTGATATTACATTTTATAGGTTCCTCTCTTTAAATTCTTCATGCGGTTAAATTCTACATCGCAAAATTTTATACACAGACAAATATAATTTTTATTATTTTTATTATATTATTTGATGAAAAAAGCTCAAATTTGATATTCGACTCGAAATATCGGAAATGAATTCTAAAAAAGTTATGAGTACCTTCGTGTTTCGGAAAAAGCTCTTCTTTAATAAAAAAAGCTCCAATTTCATATTCGACTACAAAAATTGTGAAAAAAATATTGTCAAGACCAGCGAATTGTAAATTTAATAAAGAAAATTAGTAAAATTTATCTCGGATGCAGTAAAATTTATTCCGGAAGTAGTAAAATTTACTCCGGAAGTAGTAAAAGCGTTCAGAAATTTCGCAAACATAACAGTCTAGATTAATCTCACAATTAGTTAATAAAAAAAGTTACTTTATATTTTCTATTGTGTAAATGACATTAATTATCAATCGACCCACACAATAAACTACCGTTTATTAAAAAATATTATATTTACCATATTAAAAGTTTGCTATTAATATCAAATAAAAAATGTTGCCTAACACAACACACTAAATATTAAAAACCATTTATAACTTTAACTCTTTTCACTCTTAGAATTGAATGCATTTGAAATGAAACATTTTTCATATAAATATTTATTTTTTTAATAATAATCATTTTCTTGGATAAATAAAAAAGACTTTTTAAATTTGTAAACACATCAGATGGAGCCACTAAAATTGTGGCAGTGTTTAAAAATCTATTATTATGATAATAAAATTAATATGTATACAATAAATTAGCAACAATATATTATATAGTATTTCAAATAAAAATAAACTAGAAGACTTTATTTTTTTTCTCTAAAAACTAATTAGAAATTAGAAAACATCTGGTGGTATAAGAAAAAATATTTCAATCAATAAAAGTAATATATACATAAAGTTGCACGTATCTTTCATCACGCATGCTCCAAATCTACTGCAAGGTAAAGGGCATGCGTTTGAACATATGTTAAATGTCATAGAAAAAAATATTCATTTTATTTTTTTCCCCAGTAAATATTTATAATCGACTGCATAAAGTTATAAAATTTGAGTATTAAATAAAGAAAAGTTGATTATAAAGTACAATCATAATTTTAATGGCTTAAAGTTAGAAAAAAATGAAAATTTAAAAGCGCAGA